TTGATATAAAGCGCACAGTGATACAGTATTATTTAATTGATAAATAATACTGCATCACTGTGCGCTTTATATCAAATTGACAGAATTAGTTTTGAAAATCTGAATGCTGTTACTTATACTGAGTGCAGTATATATATATATATATATATATATATATATATATATATATGACTGGAAAATGTTTATTGCATGTCAATTCACCGACTGCTCAATCACAGAATGTCAATTTAAGTGGGTTTGAGCCAAAATAAAAGAGGAAACGGCCAGAATAAAACATAGCATCAGTCCACAAAATGTCCGACTGCCCATTGATTTCAGTCATTTAAAAAGTATTGGCTTCTCTGTTAGAATTCGTGTGAGGATCAGAACCGGTGACTGCAGAAGTTAGTGATATGACTTATAATAGACCTCAGAATCACGTTAAGTTCATGATAATTCTCATGGCAAACCTCGTTATTGTTCATTTGTCTTTGTTTTACTTCCATGGCGTCTTTTTTCCTTCATTTTTCCAATTCACTCATTTTACCTTGATTTACTGATATGACATATAGGAACTCTTACTGTTACAGATTAATGTCACATACCTTGGTGGTGCTGACTGATTGACATTTGTGATTTGTAAACTTAGTATCTTTAAATCTGGGAAAGCAACTTGAATAGGCCTATAGGTAAATGAATATCAAGCAAATCTGGTTTTTTTTAAATTCTCAAAGTAGTGCGTAACTTCTTATTGGTCTCAAAATTCTGATAAATGGAATTGCTTCGACAACTGACATCTTGTAGTAAGGGTTTTTTGGCGTTCCCTGTATTCTATAATTTCATATTTTGGTAGAATAAATCTGCTGAGTCTTATCACAAATTTCTATTTTTCGTAAGATCAAATATTTTACTGTCACTCATTGTTTTGCATTCCTCCTTTTTTTGACAAATATTCATAGTTAAGTGTTTTGGAATGTAATAAGAGACTTTGTATGTGCAACACATGAGAGACACTATTTCTGTTCAGTATGAATGATTTATGTGCCTAAAATCAAAACGTTCTCAAGTCAAATAAATCATAAATGAGTATTTCGGCGCCATGGATTTCACTGCCGTCTAAATGTAATCATTACATGAAAAAAACTTCTCCAAAGACTAGTTCGTTCGTAGGATAAGTATGCAATAAACAGTCCATACGAATATGACCAAGACCATATCAGGTGATCGTGAGCAGTCATTCATATCATGTAGCACACATTGAAACATTTCAGTTCACTATAGTAGGTTGCTTAGCAAAGTTTGCTAGTCTTTATTATATACTGGATACTTCATAACATTTTTGGTTGATTTTTATATTTGTTACTTTTCAGTTCTTTTAATTTTATTGAGAGTAAAGTTTCGGACTTATCCGAGACTCTTGATGATTCAATGAATACAGATTAGTTGGCCAGTAGTTGCTTTTACGCAGCTTAACTAGTATTTTGGATGTTCTCATCACCAGAACAGATTCCGGCGAATTGGAAACTGCAGCAAACTCATACGGATCAAAGTCTCAATTACAATGGCAATAACCAACCACCACATAAAATTAGCCGTACAGAAACATTGTTCAAAAGAGCGAAAACACACTGTAGTACATCAAACCTGCAGAGGAAAGAAAAAAACTATTTGATAATTATTTTCCAAGTGAATGATTATCCATGCGACTTCATCAAGAGACGTTTGCGTGACCCGTCATTAGCTAGGAAGTCAACCTCAAAACTAACAAGCGGCTTGTCCTACTACACATAACTAGATTATCGAAGCCTCTTGAAATCGCTGTCTCACAACCCCACAAAATTTCTTCAGCCTCTGTTACGCAGGCAAATACATACAATAGCAAAGGAAGAGTGACAAAACGTTATCTACAAAGTGAAAGGAAGAAACTGCGAAAAATGCTACATCGGAGAGAGTGGTAGCCCTCATTGCATGCGCCTACATTTAACATTAACCAGCACTGAAGTGTCATGACACATATATTTGCTCACATCAATACATAAAGACAACTGCGAACATATATTTGGCTAGGAAAATTTGCAAATTCTGCATCAGCGAAATACAAAGAATGCCAGAATATGTTTAAAAGCTTGGCTTTCAGGTCAGTCAGCAATTAACAGTTATATTGACTCTGACCCACTCTATCAACCAATTAGAAACAACATGAAGGTCGAATTTGAAGTCTTCAGGACAAACAATCAAAATAAACATCAAGACAATGACAGGATATTGGCAGAAGCAACTAGCCATGTAAAAAGCCATCAGGACAAGTTACTAAGCAAATGGCAGCGAAAACCCTATTGGTCACTTCTTTTCTGAATTTGTGCTGATGATATTGTCTAGAATAACAACGAAAGCTCCACGACTAAACAGTCTGTTTCAGAGAAATTAACGCCATCAAAAATTATTTCTAGTTTCAACTCCAACGCGGTTTCACTTTCCAGTTATCGGTGAACATATCGATTAATTCTCAGGTTGCCTAATACCACTTTGAAGTACCCGTTTAAGTAGTGTTTTACGCATTTTCAGTTCTATTTATATGGAGTCACTTATCAACTAGCTATGGACACTTATTATATGCTATAATCTATCCAAATTGGATACTTACAAACTGAGCCTAGTGAAGCTTTCGCAAAAGTATATATTGACATAACAGTTCTATACAATATACAACTACGATTACCCGTCTAAACTAGTCTCACATTCCAATCTCATTAACTGAAATTCCGGAAGTAAACTTCGTAAGGCTGTATTGATGATGTCACTTGAAAACATTATAAGTGCGTAAAAATATTCCACTGGTATGAAAGCCAGCACGATTATTCACTGTTGGTCATTTTCATATTCTAGTTCTTAAACATACGGTCTCAAAGGTAATTGATCAATGCAGCATGAACGCTTTAAGTATTGTACATTTGAGTGACTAGTAAAACTTTGATATTTGCCACTGTGTTCACAAGAAATTCCCTTCTTCACTTCTTGATTGATCAACTACCTTTCCAGAGAAATTAGAATTTACAGTATATCATAAGGATATATATGATTTGTATTCCGAAAAGGTCTCTAGAATAGGAAGTTTTAATAAAAATTACATTAGTTACTTTAGTTTGACGCACTAGCTTGGGAAAAATCTGTGCATTTTGTTTAATTGAACAAAGCTAACTGACTAAGAAGTGGTGTAGTGTTTGAAGTTTCACTACCTATTCAAATATACACCATTTACATACCTATTTGCATATATTATATCATATACAGTATTCCCAATGTATACATTTCTAACTTTTGAAGTGTATATATTTGTTAAGTAACCGCCACGTATCATTCTTCTCCCTTTAAGAGAATTTTACTCCAGTTTCCGGTTGAGTTCCCAGTAAAAGGTAGAAGTTCGTCCTCGTGGAGGTCATCATTCAAAACCTAAGGGGTTGGTCTCCTCACTGAGCAGGAAACCCTACACCAACACTCCGACGTGTAAGCAAACGCCATGGCACACCACTAACCAAACAACAAAACCAATCAGTTTGAGCAAAAAGCAAACCTAGACTGTCAGCCTTTAATTTATCCATATTTGCCGGGTAATCAAATCGCTTTACCCTACTCACCTCCTCACGGCCGTACGGGAGTGAAACGCATTTCACTGAGTCTTCACAGTCTTGGGCGAAAGATGTAGCGCACCTTCACAAGAGACTAACCTTCTCTCACCACTCTGACTCAACTTCAGAGACTCCTCCTGGACTGCTGGCAAACGAGACTCGGAATTCTGGGGAGAAAACTGCCCACTTTCATAAAGTTAACCACACTCCATCTCTAGAGACAACTTAAGCATCAGCGACTGTAGCGATTAGAAAGCTGGGATCCTTTACATTTCAGGTGCACTGTTCACAGCACGCTGAGTGAAATCCTGACGTTAGATGCGCCGTCCTTGCTGAGGAGCTTTGTGCCACTGGTCTGTGTAAATAGGTCTCGTCAGCCGTGATAACCGATCAGTTAACTGTGACGATGTATTGGTTGATATTCAGTAGAAGCACGTGGAGGTTCAATATCGTTGAGTAACTAGGCCTGACCTGTAACAACTGGTGCACAAACCATCTCTGGTTTTCCAAGACAGTAGCACAAACGCTTACATCACCCATCTGCACTATGTATGACTTCTTTACGTTGATACTCTGGGGCGCAACGATGGAGAGGACGTTTAGCTAACGCTGTCAGGTATCGACTTTTGCCTCTACTGTACTGAAAACTTTCATCGCACCTTAAAGTAGCATCCTTATCGGAGTTAATTTCTGTCTGTGGTAGACGTAGGAATATGGGTGCAAAAAGTATCCAAAACAAGAGTGGTATGAAACATTGAGAACACTGAAGTCATTGTGTAATTTAAAAACTCGAACACAGCCGTGATAAGATATACATTTTTCAGATGCAAATATGCCAACCAATCGGTTCAGATCAAGACTAGTGAGTAAGTGGAGTAGTGATGCATCATTTGCCTCAGATAAACCTCGTTTGTTTTCTGTCGGGTTGTATGACTACAAATTCCCATTATCAGAATCTGTTTACTGACAATGGTATTTGATCACAGATATGAAGTAGCCTAAAATCGTTGTATCAACTCTACTTCACTCTTATTACTGAACACATTAAACACCTCTCTTCAGGTCTTTATTCTTCAGCTGATTCCCTTACTTAGTGTTATTTCTTTCTTACTTCAGATCAACTAAAAAAGTCAGTCAAACAAAGACAGTTATTCAACATTCAAAATTCAGAGGAGAAGAAAACATCCAGCTACTGGTTACCCAGGTGGAATAAATTTGTAAAGTTCTTCACGAGGAATTTGATAAGGAATAATACAGTGCCATTTGGAGTCTTTCTTAAAGTAATATTGTCTTACAAGACGAAATAATGGTACTGATTTTTATGTTACACTGTTTAGTTTATTTGATTGCTTGGTTATTAACATCTAATGTTATTTTTCAAAAATGTTTCTTTAGGTGAACCATTCGCCTGTGATTTTGCAGTTACACCGATTAGGAACGAAAAATCTCAAGTTGTTCTATTCCTGTGTTGTTATCAAGAAATACGAGGGGATTTATTACCTCCTCCAATACATCAATCTGCCTCCTGTTTCAAACTTAATCATTCAAAACTATATTCTGTTCTATCATGGGCATCTGAACTACCATTCTCTCGAAGTTACTTGCAAATGAAAACGGAAGGTTTTGGTAAGCTTAGATTGTAATAATCCTTTAGTACTGTTCTTTATTTCTTGATATCCTGCATTGAATTATCCGGTATGCTTTTCAGCTTATCTTGGATGCATTGGTGAGACATACTTCCATCTGTGATATTTTGTTGTCACAGAGTTGTAGACTCGTCCAATGAACCAATCGAACGGTGCCTTGATTTCGGTATTAGCTGCCGTTCGGAACTGTAGATTCATATTGATATGACTGTAAACGATTTTATGCCAAAAGTTGGACTGTTAGCCGATCGATTTATGCATTATTTACAACTTTATTTATTTATTTAAGTCAATTTTGACATTATTGACAAATCAGCTAACCAGATTTTAGTTCATGTAGACAATTTAGCTCTGAAAGCTGAATTTCCCCGTATATACCGCCAATAGCTACTCCACAAATAATCCCAATAACCATATAGTGCTAACATCATAATAATTCATCCAGCAAAATCTTTAGATCGTCCTGGCTAGTTTACAAATACTCGTGCGATTGTTTGCAATGATGGTTCTCTAAAACTGTTTGGTCATTAAGCCAACTTCATCAAACAATGCTTAACAACAAAACACACTTAGTACAATCACCTGAACCAACAAAAGAAATTACTGGACTATATCTCAAAGAAGTATCACAAACTGTCAACCGATTACTTCACCCACTTGGTAACCACCTGGCACACATTCCAGTCGTATCCCTGTAGAACATCCATTACTAGCTGACAGATCCATTGCTCAGATAAAACCAGTGAAGTATAATCTAAAACATTAGTTGGTAGGACTGTCAATATATGTGAGCCTGTCCAGTTGTTAAATAAGTCGGAGAATTTATGGGCACTTACTTCCAGTTGAAAAACGTTTAATGTCCTAACTGATATCAAAACATGTCAGTGACCTCAGGAACAACTTCAATTGGGACAATACTGGAATATTATAACAAACAAGCTCAAAGACTTCAAGAATGTTTCCGGAGGCATGGTGCTCCGATCAAATGACAATCACCATATATGTGAACGTTACCTCAATATACGGGTTATTAGAAAGTGATCTGCTACCTGGAGATGAATCGGTCAAAACAATAATCCAACATAAGTTCAACAGTATAGAAGAAGCGGTTGACACAGCTACACAGTTCAATCTCAAGTTAAAAAGAAGGACAGATCATCCTTACCCACAAGTCAGTAACGCTCAAGATCGGCAGATTTCCTGCATAAGCACAAATACTACTTGAAAATGCTGTACTTTACGAAGTGACGCTGAACTCGTCTAACCTGTTGAGGAGGCGTCTGACTTCGTTTTCCATCATTTACAAGAGTTCTGGTCCAGAATAATTGTGGATAACCAAAACAAAAGTTTTCAGCAGACGATTAAACCGATAGTCCAATGCATCATTAAGATATATGTTGAAGCAGTTATCAAGCAAAATTAGTTAAGCTTAGATTATTATTGTTATTGAAACATTTGTAAACATTATCAACAAACTGAAGATTTAACCACTCAGTCACTTTTAGTACACAATCTTTCAATGATTGTCTGTTCAAGTTACTTGGCTTAATAACATTACTATTGATGGGACAGCACTTCAAACATGATATTTTAAATGTAGTAACGTATGGAATATATCTCAAGCTCAAACTAAAGCAGAATTTTATTTCTTAGTTCTTATTTCGTATTAATGCCTTATAGTCATGTTACACATTAATCCGTACTCCGTTTTATATCTATGTTTTTAAAGCTGAACACTTTGAACTAACAAAATATCAGCCACACAATTACACTTCCACAACTGGCTAGATAAAATTTGAATCAGTGACATGAATGGAATCGATATTGGTGTGATGTAAAGATAGATTAACCCAACATGAATCTGAATTAGATTACACCTAAACTACATTTTGGATCATTTTACAGTAGGTAAGACGATTGCAAGTAAAGCACCAGGAGAATGTCAACGGTTGCTCACGTAATAAAAGACTAGAGTTCACTTTCCAAAAATTTTCAATAACTTTAATTTTTTAACATCAAAGGTTAACATTTAAATATATATATGTATAAAAATTATTACTTTAACTGGCAATTTAGATAATGATGGAAAGTGTCGAAAGCGTTCTCGCTCCAAGGCTGATATCAGTACTGTTCGAACTTCAATTTATTGTGCAGACAGAAGTTTTCAGTGTCACGAATCCACTTCTACAGCATATGCCTCAAAACCAGCAGACAAAACTTACTTGAATATTCCAGGAAGTTTTCATCGGACTATATCCTCTTCACTTTACGGCAGCCAAAACCTAATAAAAGAATCACGAATTAGTGTAAATAGAGACTCTTTAGACATGTCTGAAGAACTTCAAATCGCAGGTAAAGCACATTATCCTACAGAATACTATCTGCCATCAAACTGCCAGACAACTTTTTCACTAGATACTTTATCCAATTCCACACGTATTACATCATTTCGACAAGTTCCTGTCACATATGATTCATGTATCTATAGGAATTCAAGTATTCTCTCCCTACCTCAGATCAAAATACAACTGAAAAAGTTTAGTCAAAGAAAGCACAAAATGAAACCTCCGTATGGAAGTAAGAATCGAGTAGTTAACACGACAACGTCTGCTTACATGCCATCCAATCAGACAAGCTCTTCATCTGCTAACTCTTGGAATATAAACACCACTTTGGATTTTAATCATGTTTCAAATGATCCCAAAGAAGTAAATACAAAATCAGATGAAGTAAGCATTGCGTGATTATAAATTATTTTAATAAGTGAAATAAGAATTCATTAGTTAATATTTTTCTTGCTACTAAATATCACAGCTTTTGAGTTCTGTCGGTTATCAAAAATTTGTGATGAGTAGTCAGTTGTCCTCGTTAAACTAACTGAAGTCTAGCTTTTTGGACAAAATGTTTATCAACAATGTCTGGCTTTACATGAATGACTCACTAGAGAACAATTCAGTTTTGTATTGTCTAGTCCCGAGTGCCAACGGAATACTAACAGTCGTTTTGTAACGTATCCACCAAGCTAGGAGGGTGAGTATCGCAGTGCACTTCACAGGATGTTGGTTGGTTCAAGGCCCCGCTCAACTTAGATTTCGTGTTTGTTGACAATGGTCAGCAAGGTGTATCTGCAAACTTGAAAAGACTGACGTCCCCTCTTGGATTTGAATTTGCGTTATCCGGTGCTACCTTCAGCTACAATACCACTGAGCTATTCGAGATGGAACTAGCATCCTGCAGAACTGAATTGAATGTATTTATTGATCATTGGAGGGAAACCAAATTTAGTATTGTCTAACCCTGAGTGCCAACTGAAATCTATCGATCGTTTTGCAGTTATTGTGTAGTTTGATATACGCCTCTAAGAGAATTAAATTGTTGATGGTTTTCGCTTCACAGAAGAGAAACTCATGAATATTTTAAGTACGAAAAGAAAAAACACACTGAACACTACAGTAAGAAAAAGCAGCTGCTTTATTTAGCATAACTTCTAGGGTAATTACACTTGAATGTTATGTGCATATTCAGCGTTTAGTGGGGTGGTGTTTCAAACCATAACTGATCTACTCCAGTTGCCTTCTGCATGGTTCTGTTTAAAGATTTGTTAATTTTTCTGTTTCCCAGTAAAATGGCTTGAAGAACTGCATGAGCTGAACAAAAATTAGGAAATGTGTAAAAATAAACCGTGCACCATTTTATTCCAACTACTGTTTATTCTTACCTTAAAAATAAACTCATCTAGCTGTAATTTATATCATACTTCATAATGAAGCAAGATCACACGTTATAATCTGCTCGGAGTGACTTACAATTTTTTTCAGAGACAATAAGTAGAACATCTTATACTGAGGTATGACGTCTTAATTTTACCAAAACATTTTTGTCTCACAAATTCAGTTCATAAGAAAGGGTCTGATAAGAAGGCTTCACATAATTCCTGGCATTGAATATCAGCGAATTTATTATTACTATTTGTCCCTTGGGTTCCTAATGGAACATAGGGCTTCAGTAGCACGTCTCCATCCCATTCTGTCCTCTGAAATCTTTTGAACCTGGCTCTATGACTGCCCACAAGCTCTCATTTCTTCTTCACAAGATCTCCTCCATGTCACCCTCATCTTAGACGCCCAATTCGTCGCTTCCCATAGGGACTCCACTAGAGCAACTGGCCTGACACGTGATGTTCCCAGTCGACCTTCTCAGTGTATGCCCAATCCATCTCCACTTCCTTCTGCATATTTGTTGAGCAATAGCCTCTTGCTTCATTGGTTCGTCGCCATGCCAGAGTTCCTTGTTGCTTATTCTTATTGCTCCGGCTATCTGGGCTTCAGTAACGGGCCAGCATAAGCAGTTGTTGATGAATATCTGTAGTTTGTTGGAAATACCTTTCGCAACGCACCAAGTGTCTGAGCCATACAGAAGCACTAACTTGACTGAATTGTTGTTGAAAACCTGAATCTTGTTCATGCTTTATGCTGAGCGCAGATCTCCACACTAGTTTCAGGCTAATGAACGCCTGTCTTGCTTTTCCGATCCTGTCTTTGACGTCCTCGTCTGTGCCACCTGTAGTTGAAACAGTGCTGCCTAGATAGGTGAAAGAGGTTACTTCCTTTAAGTTTCTCTCGTTGATGGTGATTGGAGCTTGTTGTTGTTGTTGGCGGTGGTGGTGGTGGTTGGGTATCTTCATCACCTCTGTCTTCTCTACGTTCACCTGAAGTCCCGTCTTCGCTGCCTCTTCTGCCAACTTGTTAGTTTTCGCCGAGTAACCCGAAAGAATTTACTTACGCATTTGAAGCACATATAAATATGTCAATATACAGGTCTGCTCATTTCACTGGCAATTGGAAAATGTGTGAACTGATTAACTTTGAGTAAGAACTAAGTCAATGACACAATAAATACAGATTCGTAATCGGTTGCCCAAGGCTTAAGGTGTAAATCCTGACAATTTCATCACTTTTGTTGATATATCTAGCCATTCTTGACACAGATTATAACGTAACTACTATCTCAAAGTCTAGAGCTTTTCAGAAGGGAAAGAAAAAATGTAGCGCAAAGTAATAACTTCATTGTGGTCTCAGTCTTGGATCTGAAATCCGTCCTTCTAAATCTTCTGCGATTATTAATACTGTTGTCTACACCGATAATGTTTTCTAGAAAGATAACTTGGGTTGTATAAAGAAATCAATGACCACAAAGAATACTGCACGATTAGAAATGTTTTAGCAGATCGGAACAGAGTGAATTTTATAGTAAAAATAACTGTGACTTTACACTGATCTTAGTGACTAGCAGACGGATCCAGGACGCGCTTTTCATCCTATTTGGGACTGGTAAGCGGTAGTACCTGTACCCTAGTGAGAGATGTTGAGCCCACTGAGACTGAAACCCAGTACCCTTCGCTTCAAATGCCAGACAGTCATTCACCAAGCCACCGAGGGACGGTAGCCCTTTCTTGTGCAACACGTTTCAGTTGTTGTAATGATACTTGAAAGTTCCCATTCCTTTAAAGGGCTAGGCTGTTCTACCTCATAGAAGTCAATCTACTAAAAGAGAACGATCGCTTCGGTTCTTTATAGCAACAAGAAATTGGAAGTATCACTGCAACAGCTGGCAGGATCAGATGGGATTTCACTAGAAGCACTGAAAACAGACATCAACATAAGCAGACACAATCACACCACTATTGCATAAGGTTTGAAAGGAAGTAAAGGAAGCTGCCGATTGGAAGTAGGGCTACCTTGTCAAACTCCTACAGAAGGGAGACCTAAGTTTCCGCATGGACTGGCACGGAATCGTGCTCCTGTCCACCCTAGCAAAATATTAAACCATATCATCCAGGAGAGACTAAACAATGCGTTGGATTCAAAATTACGACCGGAACAAACTGGCGGGCTGGCTTCAGAAAGAACAAATCATATGTGGATCAAATTGCAACGCTACGATACGCATCATCATAGAACAGAGCATAGAATAGTAGTCAACTCTTAACCTCAACTTCATCAACTTTGAAAAGGCGTTCGATAGCACCAACCGAGAAGTAATTTGGCAGTTGCTTCAACACTACGGTTTTAGTGCCACAAATCTTTATCAACCTCATTCAACAGCCATATCAGGATGCCACATACCAAGTGATTCAGTGATGCCTTAGAAGTGAGAAAAGAGATAACACATGGTTGCCTACTATCATCGATGTTCTTCCTGATTGTGGTCGATTAGATCATGCAACAGACTGTGAGGAGTGAGAAGAAGGGCATATGCTGAACCGATGAAAAGACCCTAGAAGATATGGATTTCGCCAAAGATGACTTACGTCTAATATCTCACAAGTTCGAAGATCTACAAGCGGAAACTAACAAGTTGGCAGAAGAAGCGAGGCGGGGTGGAGAAGATAGGACTTCAGGTGATTGCAGAGAAGACGGAAGTGATGAAGATACCCAACCAATAACAAGCAACAATCACCATCAATGGGAGAAATCTGTAGGAAGTAGTCTCATTTCAACTACCTAGGCAGAATCATTTCAACTACAGACGCCTGCACAGATGAGGATGTCAAAAACAGGATCGGAAAGACAGGAAGACAGGCCCTCGTTAACCTAAAATCAATGTGGAGATCTACTACACTGCACTGTACTCAGCATAAATAACAGCATACAGATTTTCAAAACTAATTCCGTCAAGTCAGTGCTTCAATGTGATGGTTCAGAAAGTTGGCGCGTTGCGAAAAGCACTTCCAACAAACTGCACACATACATCAACAGCTGCCGCCTACGATCATCCGATACTGAAGATCAGATGGCCAGAAAGAATAAACAACATGGAACTCACTCTGGCTAGGCAACGAACTAATCAGGATCCTATCGCTTAACAAACATACAAAAGAAAGTGAAGAAGGGTTAGACATGTAGTGAGAAGGCTGTTTGAGGGCATCACGCGGCAGGCCAGGTCATTTTGTTGAGTGGAACCCAAAGTGGAAACGACGAGTTGTGTGTCTGAGATGAGGGTGACATGGAGGAGATCATGTGAGTAAGAAATGAAAGGTTTAGGGCAGTCGTGCAGCCAGGTTAAGGAGACTGTAGAGGAGACAGTGAAATGGCGACGTAATACTGAAGCCTTACATTTCACCTGGAATCCAAGGGAGAATTGATAAAAATAATATTAATTACAGTAGCTATGACGTATCTGCCAAAATTTCGGTGGTGAGCGTAAATCATAGCCGAGTACATAACTTCGCATATGACATAGCATTACATTTATTCACACAGCTTGTTCTCAAACTATGTAAACATGTATATATGCTAGTCCGTAAACTGAGTGAAACTGAGGGTTAATTCACATAAGCATCCTATTTCTCACTTAGGCACCGCAGTTATTATCTGTTTAGCTACAGTTTTGAAGAGCAAGCGAAAGATCCTATAAAAATAAACCCTTGTATCAGACTAATGGAATAGGCTGATCTGCACCTAGTAGCATTACTGAATAGTTTGTGTCACTGCTCCACATTACTTCTATGTCATAAGTTAAGAACTTTGATCTGAACATGGTGGTCTCACTGGAAAAACATATTGACAGTATGTTCAGGTGATTGACAAATTGCAAAGAAATTTTTTGAGATTTTTCTACTAGTTATGGAGTTATTTTTCCTGTTATTGCAGTTAGATTAAGAGAAGAAACACAAACTAACATAAAGCTTCTTAATCTAGAAATATGCTTTCAAAATTCATCTATCCTT